TTTTTAAAATATCTTTTTTAGATCAAAAGTTATTGGCTTTTAAAGTTTGTGTAGTCTTTAAGTGTCGTGCACTGTACTTATTTTTGTAATACAATTTAAAAATCTATTTTTACTTGATGTCCCGCGCTGTATATATTGAAACATATCTAATTTTTTAAGTAAAATTTCATCTATTAAAATCAATAGACAGTAATCGGGTTACGAATTTTGGTAATGACTTTAGAGAATTGAAATATTAAATAAGGTCCTATTTTTATAAATTTAGGGTAGGTTAAATTCCACCAATCCGTCCCAATTTTTTACAAAACTCGCTAAAAATCATCCCTACATGCCATTGAAAAAGTTAATGCCATTCCATACTATAGGCATGGCATTATGAAATTATTTTTTGGTTTTTCAAGAACAATTGTACGTATGTAAGTACGTAGAGATGTTACTTCAAAAATCACGTGAGAAACAAATGCATGTCATAACTAGTGTGCGTAGTGTAACTAGGTATAAACGGTTAGTTATGTGTATGACGTTAGGCACCAATGGGACGATTTAACGAATCATATGTCAAAAAAAGGTACGTACATACGTATATATATATAGAGTATAAGATTATTATTCGCTCGATGGCGTTAATGATGTAATAGATTTTAATAATAATTGTCATTACGATTAGATCAATCAAAGAACCTATCATATATGATTATGAAACCTAAATCTTATCAACCGCTACATATAAAAGATTCCGATTTTGAGTCGTACAACTTTGATTTTTTTTTTTTTTTTTTTTTTTTTTAATAAATAATTGATTCTTGATTCTTGATTTTCGACAAATACACCTCCTGTTATCATGTCGAGTAATAATAACGGCAAAAACGGGGATAAGAATGGAAAAAAAAACCTCTCTACCCATTTTATGGCAGGCGGTGGCGCAGGCCTCACGGAAGCATTATGCTGTCACCCCTTAGATACTATAAAAGTGAGAATGCAGTTGAGCAAGAAGGTAACGAAATTTAAATCTGAGCTTTCAATACCGATCTGCAAACATGAAAATTTATCAAGGTTTAATAATCATAGGCAACAAGGCCCGGCTTTTTTGAAGTTGCTTTTAATATCATGAGAAAAGAAAAGCCTTTAGCATTATACAAAGGTCTTGGTGCGGTAGTAACTGGAATAGTGCCAAAGATGGCTATTCGTTTCTCCAGTTTTGAATTGTACAAGAGTTGGTTGGCTGATAAAACGACTGGCAAAGTTTCAACAACGGCTACATTTTTTGGTATGTCATTGATTCAGGTTCATTCAATTGGAATCTAATCTATTGTTTATTAATCCATCTGTGATTATCATTATCTTATCGCATCACAAGGCACCTTGATCATATGTTAATTTTTGTAATTTTTATTTTTATTTTTTATTTTTTATTTTTTATTTTTTTTGTCTATCACTTGTCCATCATTTGTTCATGATACATAGCCGGACTTGGCGCCGGCACTACGGAGGCTGTTCTTGTTGTAACTCCGATGGATGTAATTAAGATCCGTTTACAAGCTCAACGTCATTCGATGGCCGATCCATTGGATATTCCAAAATATCGTAATGCTGCACATGCTGCGTACACTATCGTAAGAGAAGAAGGCGTTCGAGCGTTGTATAAAGGAGTGGCACTAACTGCACTTAGGCAAGCCACAAATCAGGCAGTTAATTTTACCGTATATCAAGAAATGAAACAACATATGAAAAAGTTTCAAGGAACTAAGGATGGTCAAGAACTGCCAACCTATCAGCACTTGTTGATGGGCGGTCTTAGTGGTGCTATGGGTATTTAATATCTTTATCATGTGCTTTTTAGTCATCTATAATTCGTATCATTAAATATTGGTTCTATTTAATTAGGTCCAATTGCTAACGCGCCCATTGACACCATAAAGACGCGAATCCAGAGATCGGCTAGCGCTGACAAAGGGTGGTCCAAAGTTGTGTCAGTAACAATGAACCTAATCAAAAACGAAGGGTATTTTGCCCTATACAAGGGATTACTTCCCCGTTTAATGCGTGTAGGTGTGGGTCAAGCTGTTACCTTTGCCTCTTATGAGCGCATCAAAATTTACATGGATATATTATCTCAGAAAGGATGGTTTGTGAAAATAATGGAATAGTTTTGAGCTACACGATCTCTTTTAATACTTTATTTTAATATATTTATAGACATAATTTTTTGTAGAGTTTACTTATTATCTAGGAAATAATTAAAAAAATATATATAATAATAATTTAACACTAGAAAATAGCATAGGACACTCGTTATTTTTCAACGTATATACGTAGGGCATACACATTAAAAACATCACATATGAACATTATATGTAATAGATGAATAGCTTAGTAATAATAATCTCATAGCTCCAAACTTTGTTAGGCACATTATAGTAGCCAAATAATCTTTCATTTCCTATACGAGTTCTAAATAAAGGTTATCACATAAGAAAGAACCTTGTAAAAAGTTAATATACATTAAGAAAAAAGACTTTAAAATATGTAGATCATATAAAATTGATTTAACAGAATTTTGAAACTGTACGGCTGATAAATGAAGACAATAATAAATATGTATGTCGTGAGAACAGAATTTAAGTGGATTTTTGGAATTTCTTAAGGTTTTAGGGTTAGGTAAATAAATTTTACTCGTTATCATTATTATGTAAGAAATTCAACTTACAGTAATTGGTCAATAATGATAATCATTTAGTTTAGTATATAGATGCATTTATGATTGCGTAAATCCTCTTAAATATAAATGTATCAAGTACACTTGATTCCCAATGAAACGAATAGCTCCATGTGTCAGATATCATGATGCTAAAAGGTAACGGGTAGCACGTTTGAATAACCTTAAAAGAAGCATCGTTAATACAGTCTTTACTAGGATAGTTAGCCAACACTTAATCATATAGCGGGTATCAAGTATGTACGTTCTATTTTTGTTTTACATAAACATCCTTAGGTATTTATGAGTTGAGATTTGATATAGTTCTTAAAGCTATCATTTTTTTTTGATCGATACATCAACTAATTCGATTCTTTTAATAACGGCTAGATTTAGTGCATGCGCGACCATAATGAGTGAAAGTTTAATTATTAGATTCTTTTTCTAGTTCCGTAGCTTTAATGTACAACAGGAGATCATCGAAGAAAGGTTATAAATTTAATGTTAAAACTTTTTACTCAAGTCAGATTCGTAAAGAACTGACATCATATTAAGCCCGAAGGGAAAATTTCGTAATACTCAAAAAGTACTTATATAGTGGACAGTTAAGCTAAGGAAAGCCGTTTCGTTTAATATTGTCACATGTCGGTTGTTCCCGGGAAATTTAGTAATTACTAATTTTACTTTCTTTTTTCATGATAGTGTCTTCTAGATCAACCTTAGAACAGTTTTATCTCGCTTTGTTCGTATGAAAATCATTATGTAGAATAGTATATATCTGCTTGTCCTCATATAAGTTTAATTATTCCACAGGATTACCCGTTCAAGCCTCCAAAGGTAAAAATTTTACTCTGTTGTTATTTGGAAGAGTCAAAACAATCGCTCAGACTATAGGAAATTTCGTTGTATTGACGTTATAATATCTGGTAACTAGGTCGTTTATCGTACGCGTATTTACCATTGTAACATCAATTCTTCGGGACAAATTTGCCTTGATATTCTTAAGGACAATTGGTCTCCTGCTTTGACGATTTCCAAAGTCTTGTTGTCGATATGCTCGCTGTTGACTGATGCCAACCCACGTGAGCATGATTCTTATTTAATTGTATGTTATTATGTACTAAAAAAGATGTTATAATTTACGAATTTAAAATTTTGAACATCTATAGACGATCCTTTAGTCGGAAGTATTGCACATCAATATTTGCACAACCGCGAAGAACACGACAAAGTCGCTAAAGAATGGACTAAACGGTTTGATTTTTTTTTCAACTTATTGGTGATGTCACATACACTTAAATAACTAGAAACTTTATTAATCAATCACATTTATCTGTTTAGTTATGCTTCTTGACCAAGGGTGGGTTAGTCTTTGAAAGGACCGGGACCGGACGCTGACGAACTATGGATTTAATCCTTAGTCCATAATCGTCCGGTCCCAGTTCAGATTATGGCCCCAAATGATAAAAAAAATTGATAAACTAATAAAAAAATAAAAATAAATAAATAAAATGCCAAATAATAAAC